TGGCTGAAACGTGGATGCCGAGCGTCGAGGCATCGCGTATAGATTAAACACGGGCGGGAGGAGGTGGATGTGGACGAGGATGGCGAGGGCGAAAGCGATGGTGATGAGGGAGGCGAGGTTGAGGATGGGGACGGGGGGCGGCGAGGCGGTGGATGAGAAGGGGCACGTACGAGGGCGAATGGGGGGATGACGAGGAGGAGGATTGGAACAATGAGGAGGATGCAGAGGAGACGGGTAATGAGAAACGAGATTGCAATAATAGTGCGCGAACCTCAGGAGGACATCGTCGCAGCAATCCACGCCATGGAAGACGAAGCGGACGAGAAACACCGATCGGGGGAGCTGGCGGATACATAAGACTGCGATTCTAGTTGGCACCAGATCCGCGAGGCAATCCGCGCCATGGAAAACGAGGCGCACGGAACATCGAGCCTCTAGGATCGAAACGGTTTGGCCCTTGGGGGCAGCCCCGCAACGCCGCCGCTGGACGCGGCGCGAGAGACCGCGGGGGAGGGCGGAGTGCCGCGGCGAAGGTGGGATGGGGGGGGGGGGGAAAAGGGGGGGGGGCGGGGGGGAGAAGGGGGGGGGGGGAGGAAGGAGGAGACATGCGGGAGAGACCAACACGGACACCACCCGCACTAGCTTCAAGCAACCAAGTTCAGCTACCACCACCCAAAGAGACTAACGACAAACCCTTGCGCACCCCCTGTGGTGTCGAGAAAGTGCCACGCCTGCTATGCCTGGACGTCTGGGGCGTATAGAGGCCGCGGTGAGCCACGCCTGCTACCCAGTAGCCGGGGATCGTTAGATTTATAATGTGGTGTGTTAAGTCACCCATCATAATCATAAATCATAACTAAGAACAAGCGCAATCATAATTAATATTTTAGGCGGGCTACTTAAACTTAATGAGAAAGGTACTTATAACATATTATGATTAAAAATCTTAATATACTATGATATTATGATATTATGTTTTAACTGTGATTGCCGTTGTTCGACGTTCGCCAAACACTAGCCACAGCTCCATAGCCATATCCGCAACCATTTGTGATTCAAGTTCTACAAGACACATGCTTCAACATCTGTGGAGTCCTTTCTTTGGCGACCTGCCTTCTAAGCGGAGGCGGCGCGGCGGCTGGAGGCAGCGGCTCGAGGCGGGAGATGACGACCCGCCTGCTGCCGAGATCACGTGCTCCAGTCTCGCAGCAGGCCATCTTTTAGAGTGGGCTGATGGTATCACTTCTGCAGCCCAGCTCAGACGACACATGGCGAACGGAGTTCGAGATAATAACGACCACCCCATGATTCGGAGGCTCGCAGCGATTGGTGGCGACCAGTCCGAGCAGCACTGCCAAGCAGGTCTGCTGGCAGTGCTGGAAAAATGCAGTTTGGTAAGCCTGATCGAGCGCCTTGGCGGTGACGAGTTGGCTACCCATGTCATTCGGCCTTCCACGCTCATCAGAGCACTACACGACAACTACTACAATCGGTTCAGGGTCCTCCTCGGGGCAGACAGAACTCGGGTGCGAGAGTTTTGGCAGGGGCTGCTGAGCAGCCACTCGGGACAGCAGCTAGCTACCCAACACCCTTTCATTCGCAATGCTAGCTTGGAGGAGCTCGAGACGCTTGCTCCGATCACCATACATGAAGATGCTGGCCCAGCTGGGAAAAACATATCAGCCAATTGCGTTTCCATATCAGGGTTTCTCGGTTGGGGTGGCGAGAAGTTGACGAAATTCCTGGTTGCGACATGGGCGAAATCAGCAGGCGACACTTCACCCCAAAAAATATGGCAAATATTATTGGACGACTTTGAGCAACTAGCAGCAGGTGTTGTTGACGGTAAACAGGTTGCTGAAGACTCCAATGGTACGAAATGGCGGTTCGTACTACTTTGGGCCAAGGCCGATGGGGATACGCATTGCAACACCTGGGGGCTCCCCCACTATTCTGCAAAGCAAGAGGTTTGCTCAGAATGTTTAGCTGATAGGGGGGTGCGCCCCTACACGGACCTTCGGCCACAAGCACTCTGGAGACTTACAGAAGATATGCCATTCGAGTTTTTTGTGGCCCGACCCAGGCAACCTCCGCACCCTCTGATTGGCAGCAAGTTTTTCACGAGGTGGATGTGCTACCCAGACATCATGCACATGCTCGATTGCAAAGGAGTTGCCAGCCTGGTGTTCGGAGGACTTCTCTACTACTTGGCCCGCCTTGGGGCTCTTGGCAACGCAATGGACGACCGACTTGCGAAAATCAACTCCGACATGAGCGCACGGTACGCAAGTCGGCCTGGCTCCAATCGGCTACCGAGGATCACCAAAAACATGTTGGCATCAGACGGGTGGGCCAACTTGCATGGGCCAACTGTAAAAGCTGCCAACACCAGGCAGGCAGCTCCAGCCTTCAAGGACCTCGGAGATCGCTACTTGGGCAACTCGCGGAAGGACGTCAGCATCAAGGCAGTTTTGACTACTCTTGCGGCAATCTACAGCATCATGTGGGATGGGCCTATGTTTCTCGACCAATCTTCCCAGGATTCTTTGAAGCAGCACTGTTTAGAGTTCGGCTCGAACTACCAACGTTTGCGGATGCTTGCGATGCGGGATGGGGAGCTTACTTTTCAAGTGACGACAAAAGTTCACAAAATGCAGCACATACCGATGATTTCGAAATTGATCAACCCTGCTTGGGTACAATGCTACGCGGACGAAGGACAGATAGGCACAACCATGACCGCATGGAAAAAAAGCACATCAGGTCGATACAAGGCTGTCGTTCAAAGAACGGTGCTCCTCAAGAGGCTCTTAGGATTGATCCTGCGACTGGAGGAGGCTGTCTTGTAGCGAAGCGGACAAAAACAGAAACACTGTCCCTCCTCTTCCTCCTTCTCCTCCACCCGGAACAATATCTGGCGGTTCAGAGAATCGCGTCAGGCTGCAACATGTGAACAGTAGCTTCCAGACCCCCCCCCCCCCCCTAAGGTTCCTCAAGAGGGGGAGGGTGGGGAAACAAAAAAAACAAACAAAAAAAACACAAGACTCAATGCCTGGACGTTACACCACTGGAAGCGCGATCTCTCCGTAGCCATTTTGGCTCAAAGCATAAGGCTAGTGTATTGGACTCTTTCCATACCTTACATATGGGCCCAAAGAAGGAGGACACAGTTGCAGAAGTCAGCGTCGCGAGTTTGCTAGGGGCTGCGCCTCTTGTCAAAACCGAGGCCAAGAAGGAACGGCCGACGTGCGTGAAGGCAAGGCCACCGATTCCCGAGCCCAAGGCCAAACCCAAGCCCGAGAGTCCAGCGCCTAAGGCTGCGCAGGCACAGGCCTCGATCCCCGCTAGTTCGCCAAGCGTGGATGCGCCTTCGATGGACTCCTCGATTGGCGCCTTCGTCTCCGAGGACAAGCGCCGCTACAACGCCCTCAACTACCGCCTGAGGAAACTCCCGAAGGCCTACGCCGAAGAGTACAGGCAGCTCTCGAGAGACGGGCCGAAAGACAAGCTCGAGGACTTCGTCGAGGCAGTCTTGAGGGAGAAGCCTGGGTCTGTGCCCGATGGCGTGGTGCTGACCAGGTCGATCGTGAACGAGAACGAGCAGTTGCAAGCAGGTAGCTGGATCAGCTGGATGGAAGCTTGCACCAAAGAGGGCGAGGTCGCACTATTGGAGATGGTGAAGGCCAATACAGTGAAAAGCAGGCCCAACCCGAAGCTTCCACCCGATACCAGCATCAAGTGGCCACGTAACTTACAAATTGCGTTCATCACAGAGGGCTGGAGCAAGAAGAGGAAGACCACCGACAGCCGCAGCAAGGCAGACCAAGACGAGGCCGATGATACCAACGACAAGTTTGATGCGGAGTTCGGCTCCCTGCACAAGACCAGCGGCTCCATGCCCAGTGGATCGTCGGGCACCCCAGTCGGCGAGCTCCATGAGCCACCACCTGATGGGAACGCAGCTCGGGACAAGGCGGTGGTGACTAGCCTTCGGGCTGCCCACTCGGCCTGGGACAGGTTCAAGCGAGATGCCGAGGCTGCGCTGGCGGCGTCGGTCCAGAACGACAGGACCAAGGGGTGCCTCTTCGAGACGGAGCTCAGGGGCAAGATCTTGGTGGAGGGCAACTGCGTGGATACCGCAATCTGCCTCCTGGAGAAGAAGTACCTCCAGAAGGTGCCCTTCGACGACAACGACCTGAAGACTGGCGCCGCGAAGGCCCAGGATATCAAGGACACCATCAAGAAGGGGGGGAAACGAGTCTCTGCCCTTCAGGCGTGGTTCAAGGTCGAGGACTGATAGAGCGGCAGCCTCGATTCAGATCTGATTCAGATCTGAATCAGATCTGAATTCAGATCTGACGAAAAACATTGAAAAAACCAATGTTTTTCGTTAGATCTGAATTCAGATCTGATTCAGATCTGAATCAGATCTGAAAAATATCTGAATTCCCCATGGGCCCTCCGCGTTCCCTAGCCCGCCGCCAGCAGGCCCACCGTGGCGAGATTGAGGTTCCAGCGTTTGGAAAATAAGAAAGTTCTCTCCTCCTCCCCCTCATCCACCTCCCCCCACCCCCCTCTACCTCCTCCCTATCCCCTCCACCCCCCATCCCCCTCCCCCTCCCCCCATCCCCCTCCCCTCCTCCCCCCTCCCCCTCCCCTCTTCCCCCCTCTGCCCCTCCCCTCCCTCATCCATCCACCCCCTCCCCTCCTAAGACTACGGTGCTTCCTGGACGTCGGCATAATGACGTTGAGTTAAGGGCCCCGTCCCTTAGGTCCCAGGGTCCCAGCCCGCAAGGTCTAACCCCATAAGGCCCAACCTCCTAAAGCCCCAGCCCGTAGGATCCGACACCCAAGGGGGCCTACCTCATAAGCCCCCACCCCCCGATAGGGACCCCACCACGTCTACGTTGCCAGCGAGAGCGTCAACACAAAAAAAATCACGCACGCAACATCAAACAGCAACGTGTTGAATGAATTTGTCGTTTCCCGTAGCCTTTCAGGCTCAAGCCGTTTCCACTCAACCGCGAAGCTTCGCACACTCAACACTCCGTTCTCGCCATGCCTGGCCCGAAAAGGCCGGCCTGCGATATGGGTCAGGAGCCTGGAATTAAGTGGCAAAACCGGGCCTCCATGGCAACTTCGCCTTTCAAGCCTCCTGAGCTGATCCCCTTGGATGACCCTGAGATCGGCGATATCATCAAGGGAGGTGGCCCCCAGGATATCGATATCGACGCGATCGACCCCGTGAGCAAGGATATGGAAGTGTCGGTCACCATGCCACGTTTCCAAGGTGCACTCATCAGCTACAAGATCGAGGCAGTCATCAAGCGTGTGCTGGTGTGGGAGGAGAAGCCCGTGCACCTTTCTCCAGTTACAGTTTCAGAGAACGGCGGCCCCTAGAGCATGAGCAGGTGCAGTTTGCCTTCGGTCGTTATTTTCGCCTCGGGCTAAGATCCTCGAGGGAGTTTCATTCGGCTTGATCGTCCCCTTGCGTTCCTTGGAGTTGCAAGCATCCGCCATTGCACGGTCAGCATCGCAGTACATGCGCAGATGTCCTTACCTTGCGCGCCGTCGTTTGCGAAACAAGAAAAACACAGTGGACGTGGCGGAGAGCTCTCACACAGTAAGGGTCACCAGCAACAAGTGGCTGTGTTGCTACTGGGTCTAAAAAAAGCGCAAGAGTAGGGGAAAGAAAATCACGTTCGATGGCGAAGTGCTCAATCAATCCTCCAGCTCATCCCGCTCATCACTCCTCCCCCTTAACTGCAAGGCTGCAAGGCTGTAAAACGTCAGTCCCAGAACCCCCCCCCCTAAGGTTCGGTAAGGGGGGTTTTGGAAGAGCACCCGTCAGCTCCAGGCAAACGCGCCTCGCCAGCCCATCTTGAGACGACCGACGTTGAGCAATAGCAGAGCTCCTCAAACAATATGCGTTCTAAATGATTGGTAAGACGCCTGGAGCTCTCGAGGGCGGTGGGGGGGTCAAGTCGCTACCACCGTAAACACGTAAACAAGTAGTTGTTACTCCGTAGCCCTTTTTGGCTCAAAATTTGCAGCTCGCAATGCGTTCCATATACAAGCTGTCGGCCTTTCTGCTCTCTGCGATGTCAGGATCTGCGATCATGGTTTCAAAGTCTCGGGCCCCGCGGCCACTCACCAGCCACTTCGAGCCAAAATCATTGGAGGATGCATGGAAGCCACTCGCCGTGCTGAAACAGTCTGAGCTGAGATTCCATTGGGACGGCAGCGACTTTCGACCATGCGCTCGTGGATGCGACTTCGTTGGGCTGCTTCGCTACAAGGAGCCGCTGACCAAGCTTCTTACGGTGGCTCCCACGGGCTTCCCAAGCCATCCTCTTTTGAGAAGGGTGATGCTGGATATGCACGATAAGTATGGACTATTCGACACACAGACAGCGCATGCTTTCAAAACAGCATCAGAGGCGAGCGAAGCATGGCGCAACATGTGCAAAGTGATCTATAACATGAAGCGATCGGGTAACGTTGCCTCGGGGTTCCAAGAGATGGTGGACATCATCGTTCTTCCAACAAAGGATACGGACACCTCTGGTGCAGCTCCGTCGGTGATCCGTCCAACAAGCCAGGCCCAGCAGACGGCCGCTTCAAGCGCAGCTCCATCGGGGCTCCAGCCAACCATTCAGGCCGAGGATGTCAGCAGCATGTTCCCCGACTTCGACGACGTGTCGGACTACGGCGGCGTCGGCGATGCCATCGTCATGGAGGTGAGCGACAGCGACGTGGATATCACGGGTTTCACTTGCAAGTGCCCCGACTGTCTAGCCCAGGCCGCTCAGTTTCTTCCAATCCCCAACCCTGCAAGCGGAGGGCAGCGAACGGAGACTGGCAAGCCCTGTCGCCATCGTATCACTAGCAAGCGGACCGAGCAGATTCCGCAGACCGTGGCGGCGGACCACCCCAAGCCTAGCATGAAGAAAAGGAGAAGGAAGCAGAGCATCAGAGCATCCCGTACCGAGACCGTCAATATCGAGCTGCCTGTGAAGACGATCACGAGGAAGGCCAGCACCAAAAGGACGAAAGAAGTGTACCTCATGATGGGCAAAGGTGCTGGTCGCTACGTGGCTGGTTGCTCTGAGAACCAATCGTCCCGCTGCGATGGCACCATCGAGGATCTGAAGAAAAAAATCGAGGGCAAGGTGATCAAAACATTGGGGCAGGCTCGGCAGTTTGTGCTGAGCGAGATTTCTAAGGACAAGTAGTTGCGTGGCCAGACACATCCATGTGTACGGAAAAATGCAGGCTCGCGCAAGCAGGCCGTGAAAAAAAGGGGAGAGGAGGGTAGGGGCAGTCAAGCCTTAGACTCCACTAAGCTCTCTCCTCCACCCCCCGAGGGAGCGGCTCAAGTTGCCACTTCCGAGGGTTAAAACTGAGGCCAAACTGAGGCCTCAGTTTTAACCCTCAAGCGGGCCAGGTCACCGAAGGCCATGGCGCCGTTTGTGGACGTACGCTGTCCTTTCATCTGATCGCTCCTGATCGCTCCTCCTCCTCCTCCTCCTCCTCCTCCTCCTCCTCCTCCTCCTCCTCCTCCTCCTCTCCTCCTACTGGTGCTTTTGGTGGAGATTGGTCACGCGTGCGATCTATATGGATTGCTTTGCATGACATATCCGACGACCCCAGACAACAGAACTACCACCCGAGGCCCAGGAGAGCCCCAAATGATCCAGATGAACGTTGGGCCCGAGGGCCCAAACGATATATGATGTGAAGAAAACAACGCAAACGAACATAAACATAATAACAAACGCAATTATAAAATATTATGATTTAGAATCATAACCAAAAACACACATAAACATAATCAGCACGCAATTAAAAAATAATGTTGGGCTGATTTTGTTTTAATTATGTTTTCGTACGACATTATAAATGTAGCAATCTGTGGCTACTGGGTATGCCTGGACGGCTGGGGCTTATAGAGACCGCGGTGGGGGACCACCCCCTGCGCACCCCCTGTGGTGTCGAGAAAGTGCCACGCATGCTATGCTTGGACGACTGGGGCGTATAGAGACCGCGGTGAGAGACCACCCCCTGCGCACCCCCTGTGGTGTCGAGAAAGTGCCACGCCTGTTATGCCTGGACGACTGGGGCGTATAGAGACCGCGGTGAGAGACCACCCCCTGCGCACCCCCTTGGTGTCGAGAAAGTACCACGCCTGCTATGCCTGGACGACTGGGGCGTATAGAGACCGTGGTGAGAGACCACCCCTTGCGCACCCCCTGTGGTGTCGAGAAAGTGCCACGCCTGCTATGCTTGGACGGCTGGGGCGTATAGAGACCGCGGTGAGAGACCACCCCCTGCGCACCCCCTGTGGTGTCGAGAAAGTGCCGCGCCTGCTATGCCTGGACGACTGGTGCGTATAGAGACCGCGGTGAGAGACCACCCCCTGCACACCCCCTGTGGTGTCGAGAAAGTGCCACGCCTGCTATGCCTGGACGACTGGGGCGTATAGAGACCGCGGTGAGAGACCACCCCTTGCGCACCCCCTGTGGTGTCGAGAAAGTGCCACGCGTGCTATGCCTGGACGACTGGGGCGTATAGACACCGCGGTGAGAGACCACCCCATGCGCACCCCCATGTGGTGTCGAGAAAGTGCCACGCCTGCTATGCCTGGACGACTGGGGCGTATAGAGACCGCGGTGAAAGACCACCCTTTTGCGCACCCCCTGTGGTGTCGAGAAAGTGCCACGCCTGCTATGCCAGGACGACTGGGGCGTATAGAGACCGCGGTGAGAGACCCACTGCGACCTTGCGTACCCCTGTGGTGTTCGAGAAAGTGCCACGCCTGCTATCCTGGAGGGGTGGACGACTGGGGTGCGTATAGAAGACCGCGGTGAGAGACCACCCTTGCGCACACCCCCCTGTGGTGTCGAGAAAGAAGTGGCCACGCGCCTTGCCGAACGCGGTCGACTGGGCGTATAGAGGGACCGCTGTTAGAGCCCCACACCTCCTCGCACCCCCTGTGGTGTCGAGAAAGTGCCACGCCCTGTTATTGCCCTGACACTGGGGCGTAAATAGAGACCGCGTGAGAGACCCCCCCACTTGCGCACCCCCGCCCCTGGGTGTCACGAAAGTGCCCGCGTCTCTATGCCCTGGATGCCTGGGCGACTGGGGCGTATAAAGACCGCGGTGAGAGACCACCCTCTGTGCACCCCCTGTGGTGTCGAGAAAGTGCCACGCCTGCTATGCCTGGACGACTGGGGCGTATAGAGACCGCGGTGAGAGACCATCCCTTGCGCACCCTCTGTGGTGTCGAGAAAGTGCCGCGCCTGCTATGCCTGGACGATTGGGGCGTATAGAGACCGCGGTGAGAGACACTTATAACAGCTCGCCATTGCTGTTAGGATCTCACAAGGGCAAAATGCGCGAAGCAGGGAATCTCCGCTGATCCTCCAGGGGCCCCTGGCACTCTCCAGCGACGCTCTGGCGGCCCCTGTCTCCTGTGACGTGCGAAGGCCCCCCTGACCCCCCCCCAAAAAAAAAAAAAAAAAAAACCTCATGGGGGCCCCATCGAACCCTCCAAGGACCTCAAGGGGTAACCCTGGAGCCCCCCCCCCCGAACCCTCCGAGAACCAAGGGGGCCCTGGAACTCTTCCAAACGATCCAGGAGTTCCTGGGAGGACCCTGAAACCCTTCAGTCCCAGGGGGGGGGCCCTCGAACCCTCCAGACACCCCCTCAGGGAGACCATCGAATCTCGAGGAACGCCCCATGGGACCCTCGAACCTCTACGACCCCCTCTGGGGAACCATCGAAACCACCAGGACCCCCCACAGGGGGGCTCTGAAAACCTGCGGAACCTCTGGGGGGCCCTCGAAGCGTCCAAGAACGCCCAGGGGGGCCATGGAGCCCCCCCGAACCCTCCAGGAACCACCATGGGGAAACTGGAACCCTCCCAAACCCTTCAGCAACCCCCAGGGGCCCTCAATCCCTCCAGGACCCCTGGGGGGAACCTCGAACCCTCCACGAACTCCCCGAGCTCGCGCTGGGATCTTCAGCAGGTCTCCTATGCCAACTGGAACCTGCCAGGCCCCTTCCCGACGACATCTCCTACAGCCCTCCTCCTTCTCCGCCAGCCACCTCCTGCCCGCGTTACCCTGTGCCTCGTCCATGCAGCGGCGCGGTGCCTGTGAGAAGAGGGGACATGCCTTGCGCTACTCGTAGGTTCGTGCCCCCTCCTTCGTCGCATATCCTGCGCGGTACTCGCAGCTGCATATGGTTGGGTCCTTCGCCGGGCTAATTTTATATACCATTACCTCTGTTCTAGGGGCTGCTTGCGAAGGCCTTGCCACGGGCTTGCAGTCTGGTGCCTCGCAAAACACGAAATAGTTGGACGACATGGCTGTTGAATTGCTTTGCCGTCTCACTGATGGCGATGCCGTGCTCTCGGAATTGCAAGAGCAGCCGTCACTGAGGGCCCCCGCCTTGGAGTTGGCCTCTCGGCTGATGGCAAGCAAGCAAGCAAGCAAAGGACCGATCGGACGCCACAAAGCGTCGCGCCCCACTCGTGAGGACGACGGAACTTTAGAACTGGCCTGCCATGGCGAGCGA